GTATAAAATTGATGTAATGAATATGCATATTGGCTGGTGTCAGCCATAAATACAGGCTGATGTAGAGGTACAGGACGAGACCCATTGGACTACGCCAGTTCCATTACTGCTACCTGCTAGATTATTCTACTCGGTTACAGTAGCCTAAACCACTTAGCTACTTCGATCAAATATATCCCTTTCTGGGACATATCAAAAATATATTTGTAAGAAGGCAATGTGAATAAATGGTTGAATTTGGTAGTCAGAGGTCGGTAGTTCTCTGTGTATTTAAATGGGTCCTAATGGAGATATTATTCGAGAGATGTAAAGTATTTGTGGGAAATACAACAATAATATCTTCATCCACATGCAAAAAAAACACTGAAAAATAATAGTAGAATTAATAATAAAAAAGAAGCCAAATCTCAGCAATATCAATTATGAACACGGCCACAACATGCTGACCGTGTTCGAAAATTAAAAAAAAAAATATTCCAGTTACTATAAATACACAGACACAGACACAATTATATATATATATATATATATATATATATATATATATATATATATATATATATATATATATATGTGTGTGTGTGTGTGTGTGTGTGTGTGTGTGTGTATATATATATATATATATAGTGGTACTCACGCTTGGAAAACCTTGGGTATTTCGACTTGTAGTAGAACAAACCAATATCCATGGAAAAATGAGGAATAAAAAAAGAAAGAACTAAGAACATGAAATTGAGGTGAAAACAATCGTCCAGAATTCAAGCTCAGAGTCCAAAGAAAAAAAAAACCTCCAAAACGAGTAAAAGTATATATATATATATATATATATATATATATATATATATATATATATATAATAGAGTAGCTGAAGTCGCTCGGATTTATAGAACATTTAGATAGTTTGAATACAAACTTTATATTCAGAAAATAAAATACGGATGAAAGAAAAATCTTACAAGACGCTTAATCACATTTCTTTGTGAATTCTCTTTAATAAAATTTGTATAAAAGTGGGATTACTACCCAAATACACACGTACACGTACTCCTTACTAATCCCTTAAATGCATGTACTGTCATTCACGTTAGATATATCATTTGCTATTTTCTTCTACTCTTTCCGTATGACTTATGAGTTTCAAATTATCTTAACATTCTTTTCTCATTGTGTTATCCCTGAAACTTGTACTGTCTCTTTCTGATACTTTTTTCATTTTTTTTTTTATGTGCTCCCGTTTTTCTTATTACGTGATCCGTCCATGGTATTCCGAGCATCCATCTGTAGAACGACATTTTTATTGATTCAAGTCTCGTCTTCGTCTTAGAGGATTTTTCACTGACCTAGATGACCATTAATATCAAATAGCAGTTCAGCACTGCTTTGCGTGTTCCTTACGAGATACTCTTAAAAAGTTTCATCTCGAGTCCATCTCGAGAGACGATGGAGTAGTGCGGTGCGTTACGAGCCTGGGCGGGATATATGGAGAACTAGGGCTGCCCGGGCGTATAGTTTCCCCCCTCTCGGGCTTGCTAGCAGAGTTCAAAGGAGAGGATAAACCAAAACATATTAAATAAGCAATTAACAGATTTATAGAGAAACTATAAAGAAAAAAAAAAACACTTCCTCCTCGATAAAATAAAAATTACTCCTATGCGCAAATTCCACTCAAAGAAGGAAAAATGCTATAAAATCGGGAAAAGAAAAGGTGCGAAGGTAGCAGGTGAGACAAAAGAACAATCTTGTTGTATTTCGGCAAGCAAATAATGAAAATGTTGCATAATTATTTCAAGAGGAATTTTTATCCTTTCCAGAACAAGTAGATAGCGACTGTTCAGTATTTTAGCGAATGACGTATGCTCTCGAGCAAAAGAAATGTTTTTTTTTGTTTTTGTTTTTTTTTTTCCTTTTATGAATCTCATGTCATTATATAACTCTCTGGGAAGACTATGTGAAAATATGGACCTTCTGTAGTCAAATCAGTGTAAACAAATTATATAGAGTCTAAAAAGTATCATGATATAAATCACAGACACACGCTCACATGGCGATGCTTACAGAGGCGAAAATATTTAAAGGTTCAATATTTTTATAAGGATCATGTCTTTCCGTGTCAGTTACAGCAATCAAGCAATTTTCATTTATGAATTTTATTGCTAAATCTAATTACACACACGCACACACACACATATATATATACACACACACATTTATACACACACATATATATTATATAATATATATAATATAATATATATAATATATATATTATATTATATAAAAATATATAATATATATAATATATCATATATATAATATATATATAATATATATATATATATATATAATATATATTACATGTATATATAAATAAAAAGAAAGAACAGTAAGGTATATAATCCGGTGTTCTTGTTATTTTTAATTTTTATTTTTACAAAACAGTGCTCAATGTAATTTTACAGAGCAAAATATCTCTCAGTGTTTTCGATTTTGTGCTAAACCATTATTATTTTTTTATTATTATTATTTTCTTTGATTTCTGGCGTTTACACATTTCTTTCCGGGTCCCGCCCAGGGACCTCAAGTTAGAAATGGTATCATGACACTTTCCACTGACAAAAAAAATATTACATAGATAAAGCCCTTCGTAAAGTGTAGGCTGTACTTGTCAGAACAATTTTTTGTATCTTGAGGCATGGACTTCCAGGAATCCCTTCAATTAGTCTACTGGAATCTTTTCCAACCAGTCCTAGGGCTCCAACTACAACAGGGATTGTTGATGTTCCCATATGCCACATTTTTGAGATTTCTATTTCAAGGTCATTGTATTTTGACAGCTTTTTGAATATCTTCAAAGATACATTGCAGTCATCAGGGACTGCCATATCAATAAGTATTCACTGTTTTCGTTTGTGGTCTTTAATAACAATGTCTGGGCGGTTGTGTCATGCCGGGTTTTATATTTAGCGGGTGCCAATATCGTGCAACCTGATACAAGATGATCAATCGTTTCTGGATATTTATCACAGAATCTGCATTTTGAGCTGACACAATATTTTAGTATATGTGCTTGATAATTCCTAGTTAGCAAGCATTGGTCCTGTGCAGCAAGGATAAAATCTTCAGTTTCAGCTTTCAACCCTGCACTACGTAACCACTGATGGGTATGGGTTTTGTCTACGTCAGCTTGTTTGGTACGGGCAGAGTATTGGTCATGAAGCGGTTTATCTTGCCATCGCCTCTGTATCTGGTCGGTTGCATTCGTCTTTGCTATCTTTTTAAAGTATTTTGTAGTTTCAGCCGGTGTATTGTGCTGTACTTGCATCTCTACGCCAATTTGAAACTCCATTTTGAATTTGTTGGCTTCTTTTATTACGGAGTAAAAACGCTTACTACTTTCATGTTCCTTGACGCATACCATCATCCAGTCTTCTGTAGTTTCCAAGTATCTTTGGAGGCCAATTGTTGTAGTTTTGTAGAACAGTTCTAGTTGAACTAATCCTCTGCCTCCTTCGAGTCTGGGCACATACAGGCGATCAACATCAGCTTTGGGATGATGCATGCGGTAGCAAATGAGAAGCTTTCTCGTTATCATTATTATTATTATTATTATTATTATTATTATTATTCCCTGTGTTGCCTAAACTTACAATTTAGTTCTATTATATCCATAAGTTAGAAGCTATCAACCAAATTCTAAACTTTTTGAGAGTTCGAAAGTTCAACGATTTGGTCAATGAATGTTGCCGTGTAAGCAAACTATTTAGGCTCCCCATTATCCTGCTGTTACTTATAATATCTTAACCATGGATCCTAAACCTGTCGTTAACACGGTTAGAGACACGACATTCGATTTAATGATATCAAGGTCCTAAGATATCCACCCTTTGCCAAAGTACGACAACAAGGAGCAGTGATATCGCCCTCAAAATCTTAATCTCCTCCCAAGAACTCGGCCGTCGAGTTGTAAGTTTAAATTTGGCTACCGTAGTCAGGATCGTTTATGTAATACCAACAATTTTCAGGACTTCAGTGTTTGTAGCGAAGTTACTTTAAAATGCATGAAGAATGATATGGAGGTCACGTTGACGAAAGTTTTCCAGTAAGCGTAGGTGGCGTTGGTCGATAACACTTTATTAAACACCATTAAGGAGGTTAGTAATGACGATAACATTGTAGATTTTTCTGCCTTTCTTGCTGCTGTGTTATTGTTCCAGTCACGTTTGTTTGTATAGCCTCACTCCCACCGCCCGAAGGCTTTGTTTGGCGTTGACAGTCTATTGTTATCTATTTGTTGAATTTGACGTCAAAGAACAAGGAATCCCAGATAGGTGGAATTCTGGACTGTTTCCAATTTCGTCGATTTCATGGCTATAGGAAATGTGTGATACTCTTGTCGAGGTTGATAGAAAATTAGGATTTTTCCTAAGACCGACTTCTATAACCAAGTTTTTCATTGATCTTTGAAAATCAGAATTTGATATATTACAAGGCTGACTTAGTGACAAACTAAAATCAACAGCGTCCTTGAATAGGTAATTTCTGTTTTCCTCTACACAAGTGTTTTTTTTTTTTTTTTTGAGTAGGAGGAGGAGATGGGGACTTGAGTTCGAAGTCACTTCAGAGTGAAAAGTTTGCCAGTTGTATGTGGGGGAATATATACATTGTCTTCATCTATCTCTTCTGCTGTAGGCTTCAAAATCATTTTAAAATATAAAATATTATCTTAGCAACTTAGAATGCATAAGCTTGGCCAAAATGGCAAACTCTATCGGACTGGTTATAACTTCGCCGACGCGAAAAAATGTGAGGGTGGTCTGAAACATGTGGGTGTGAAATTCTGAAGTCATGGGTTATTTTTTCATTCATATAGGACCGAAAAACGCATGAAGATAAACCGGTTGCAAGAATAGAAGATTCTTGAGGAATCACTGTTCTGTATAACTTTACTATATGCCGTTGGATAATCAGAATAAGTAAATTTTCAGGCCAACCAAGTTGAAATGTTTCCAAAGACCGAGACTGTAACGCTCCACCTTGCAACGTAATTCGAACAATTTTAATCTCCTAAACGGTGGTGGTAAGCCGTGGTTAGGGGTTCAAGCTCTCTTATGTGAAAGGCAGAATCTTCTGAAACGGATAGTAAATGTCATATGTCGATTTTAATGCTTGACAGAAATTTCTACAGCATGTTTTTAACTGTTTGCTCCACCATTAAACGGTAATATCGTAAGAAGTATCCATGTCGTTTTTTTTATTAGAATTCACCAAATACAAGGTCCAAGAGGTCCTCAAGGTAGAGTGTTAAAATGTTTATGAGGGATGAGATATGATATGAATGAAAATAGTGTTAGTACGAAGTGAAGTTTATGAGAAAAGTAACGTGTAGTGGTTAAGATTGTAGCGTTCAGGAAAGTACCTATGAGGGATTCTGTTCTATAATGTAACAGTTACTGGAAAAAGTCTGTCTGAGTGGAAATTTCAGCTTACATTTAGAATATGGAAGAATATGGAAGAGTGGTCTCTGCGGAAGTAGAATTGGCATCTGAACATTGGTCAGGCAAATAGCGATAGCATAGCGTCTAACATCTATATACCGTGTTTCAAGGTAGGAACAAGTATATATATATATATATATATATATATATATATATATATATATATATTGCCACTAGCACGCAAGGGGTTACAGAGAGTGGGAGGAAGAGTAAAGAGGCGTGATAGAAGAAAGGATGAAGGGAAGTACAATGAATAGATCAAGGCATCTGGAGATGTCGATTGACATTACATTTGAATAGATGGAGATTATAGCGATCAGGGAAACAAGTAATAGGAAGGGAATTCCCACAGCCGAGAGGTGCCAGATGCATGCTCGCGTGTATATATATATATATATATATATATATATATATATATATATATATATATATATATGTGTGTGTGTGTGTGTGTGTGTGTGTGTGTGTGTGTGTTTCCAGCATCTTTTTTCCATTTTCTAGTAGTAAGGAAGTACAGAAATATTTTCATTGAACGAAGCGCATCTTTAGGGGACTTTGTTTTTAGTGTTGTTAGTATTTCTTCATATTTTGACTGTTTAATTTGTACTTTACTTTTGTGTTGTTTAGAATAGGAACCCTTATTAGTGTTGTTTATGGGTCCTGTATTTTAAACATCTTTCGCCTGTTATTAGCCGCACTTTATTTAACAGTGGAAATGGAGAGTTAAAAGTTTCTTTAAAAAACAAAACAGGAAGATTTTCCCGCGAATTCCAGCTGCACTCAACAGGCAAAGGCTCAAAATAAACGCTGAAAATGGCTAAAGAAGAGTCCAAAAGCGCTTGGGACAATTAAAATCATGGAAAATTCCTGTCCTCCCTTACTACTACAAAACGGAAAAGGTTGCTAGAAAACACACACACAAACACACGCATATATATATATATATATATATATATATATATATATATATATATATATATATATATATATAATAGTAAAAAAGGAAGACTAGTAAGTGTTCTTATTGATATTTTTATTTTTACAAAACAGTGCTCAATGTAAATTTACAGAGCATAAATATTATAAATTAACTGATTCATATTTTTTTTTTTTTGTTTCCAAGGATGAAGTAGAAATCCAAACATTTAGACAGGGGCAGTAGCGTGTTCATTTTTACTATTATTGTATCAATTATGAGTTACGTTCGAAAAAGAGGTTAAGTCTAGGTAAATTTAATATATATATATATATATATATATATATATATATATATATATATATATATATGTGTGTGTGTGTGTGTGTGTGTGTGTGTGTGTGTGTGGTTCTTCTTACGTTGAAAACATGGAAAAAATGTAAAGAAACTGGTAGAACTAAATAAAAATTCTTCTTTATCTGTGAAATTTAATGAAAGATGTTTAAAAGTAATGCTGCTGCCCAAATATACATTAATATATATATGTGTGTTTTTATATATATATATATATATATATATATATATATATATATATATACTACTATACCAAACGTAAATAATTTCCTTGTTTGCTCACGCAGTAGACATGGTCATTCCGCGGTATCTTACTGTCAACAGCGAAGTGTTTACGCATGCGCAGTTTATAACACTATTACTTTTAGCAGCGTTACATCAAGGCCGCTTTGTTAAATAGTTCCAGACCAAACTGATAAATAGTTAAATCTGCGGGTTTGTGCATGGGTGTGAGTTTATGTCTAGTTTTAGCGCCATGTCCCTTCAGGACGTAGGCGATCATGGCTCTCCGCAGACACCTTTTCATTATTATTTATGTCTTTCCATAACTTCTTGAAGATATTGAAATTGTTTTCTGTAGTTTTATTTATTGTCTTCAGTTTGAAATAATCATTCCTCTAAGCTGGATACTATCCGACGTTAGAAATATCAGCCTACACTGTTATTTAATCCACGGTTAGGGGGATGACTCTAAATGCTTTAAAACTACAAATATATATCAAGATCAGAACAAATTTTAACCAACAATAAATTATTAACTGGATCCCTTATACTAAGGAGCTTTACATCAAGGGGGCATTATACAACATACACACCTACACGCAAGCGAGAACTGTTACTGTGTAAAAAAGTCTCCAGTGGGGGTGCTTCCCAAATGACTTTCGGCCTACGCAACATCACCTTGAAACACCGGTTCTTGTACGATCACCTAAACAAAATATCTACATGGGTGACTGCTTGAGAATACCAGATGCTGTAATCTTGGATGTGCGGGTGGTGCAATGGATAACGGCTCGGATTTGGGAATAGGAGATCTGAGTTCCAATTCCAGTCAGATTCATTATATTCACTTATGCGTAAAATATATATATATATATATATATATATATATATATATATATATATATAAAAACTCAACTTCTCCCCAAGCTATGGTTAATTAGTAGAACTGATATCAGTAAAGAATTATTTATCGCCAAAACATTCTTACAATCTAAAAATATTTTCTGCCTTTAAATAATCTGAAAAAGGTTGATAAGCTCTAAAAAAACAAATCAGTCAACTGCTGTCTTATGAGGAGATGAAAAAATGAAACAAAAATGAACTGTGGTAAAAGTCCAACCAAATCCAACCCACTATGACCTTTAACCCGCTTCCAGCTTAGGGTCAGCCGTTATCTATCGCACAAATCCTTATAATATGCGCTTCATGCTTCCTCCTTTTACGCTCTTACGATAAACTCCTTCAGTAACTTCTTTCCTTGAGTGGCTCTTGGGACTTTTATTGGGTGAACAATATTATTATACATACTTTCAATATGCATTGGTCGAGCAAAAGTACTAATGAAAAATGACTTAATGCTCAGCCACTGGTGGAAAGGTGGGTAAACACTTGTAACTGTTTTTATATCTACCGTAAAACATGACATACCAATTATTTGCGAATTTTGACTCAGGAGATCAGGCAGAAGAGTTCAAATTGTTCAGGAACGCAGGGTTCAAATGGTTAATTAGCATAACACTTCTAAGTCTCTAAACACCTTTGACGCAGATTCACGTATCAATTGCTTGAAGCAGTCAATGTTTTCATTAAATTTAAAAAAGGACTGAACAATAATGGTTGGATTCAAACTTGAGTCCCCAAGTTAGGTCCAATAAATGAAACCTAACAAGTTTGATTTGTTAGTTTTTTTTCTAAGTTACTTTTCTCATGGAAAACTTGATCACCGCCTTTATTCTACTATCACGTGTAAGTCATCATGTGTAATGTTTTTTTCTTTTATAGGTTGAAATCATATTTAAAAAAACTGGTATAGTGTCAGTCACGGCTCAGTTACCTACTCATACAAATTCTAAGGTCTTTGATGATTAAATGCTTACTCTAGTTTTATATTTATCAGTTTAAGTAAGATGAATTATATGTTAATTACAAACGACATTTGTATATTTTTGTAAATTGCACAACTTCTCAAATCTGCCAAAAAATTCGTATTTTCTTGCTTTCCCTTTCCATGGCCCGATTTTTTCTTTTAATCAGTTTCTATCTATCTTCTTTTCAGTTCCCTTTCTTTTAACCACATTCTTTCTATCTTTCTTTTCAGTTCCCTTTCTTTTAACCACATTCTTTCTATCTTTCTTTTCAGTTCTATTTCTTTTCAGTTCTCTTTCTTTTCAGTTCTCTTTCTTTTCAGTCCTCGTTTTTCTATCTTTCTTTTCAGTTTTTTCTTTTTAGTTCTCTTTCTTTCTATCTTTCTTTTCAGTTCGCTTTATTTTAACCACATTCTTTCTATCTTTCTTTTTAGATCGCTCTCTTTCTATCTTTCTTTTCAGTTGTCTTTTTTTTAACCACATTCTTTCTATCTTCTTTTCAGTTCTCTTTCTTTCTATCTCTCTTTTCAATTCTCTTTCTTTTAACCACATTCTTTCTATCTTTCTTTTCAGTTCTCTTTTATTCTATCTTTCTTTTCAGTTCTCGTTCTTTCTATCTTTCTTTTCAGTTTTTTTCTTTTTAGTTCTCTTTCTTTCTATCTTTCTTTTCAGTTCTCTTTCTTTTAACCACATTCTTTCTATCTTTCTTTTCAGTTCTCTTTCTTTTAACCACATTCTTTCTATCTTTCTTTTCAGTTCTCTTTCTTTTAACCACATTCTTTCTATCTTTCTTTTTAGATCGCTCTCTTTCTATCTTTCTTTTCAGTTGTCTTTTTTTTAACCACATTCTTTCTATCTTCTTTTCAGTTCTCTTTCTTTCTATCTCTCTTTTCAATTCTCTTTCTTTTAACCACATTCTTTCTATCTTTCTTTTCAGTTCTCTTTTATTCTATCTTTCTTTTCAGTTCTCGTTCTTTCTATCTTTCTTTTCAGTTTTTTTTTCTTTTTTAGTTCTCTTTCTTTCTATCTTTCTTTTCAGTTCTCTTTCTTTTAACCACATTCTTTCTATCTTTCTTTTCAGTTCTTTTTCTTTTAACCACATTCTTTCTATCTTTCTTTTCAGTTCTCTTTCTTTTAACCACATTCTTTCTATCTTTCTTTTCAGTTCTCTTTCTTTTAACAACATTCTTTCTCTCTTTCTTTCCAGTTCTCTTTCTTTTAACCACATTCTTTCTATCTTTCTTTTCAGTTCTCTTTCTTTTAACCACATTCTTTCTATCTTTCTTTTCAGTTCTCTTTCTTTTAACCACATTCTTTCTCTCTTTCTTTCCAGTTCTCTTTCTTTTAACCACATTCTTTCTCTCTTTCTTTCCAGTTCTCTTTCTTTTAACCACATTCTTTCTCTCTTTCTTTCCAGTTCTCTTTCTTTTAACCACATTCTTTCTATCTTTCTTTTCAGTTCTCTTTCTTTTAACCACATTCTTTCTATCTTTCTTTTCAGTTCTCGTTCTTTTAACCACATTCTTTCTATCTTTCTTTTCAGTTCTCTTTCTTTTAACCACATTCTTTCTCTCTTTCTTTCCAGTTCTCTTTCTCTCTATCTTTCTTTTCAGTTCTCTTTCTATCTTTCTTTTCAGTTCTCTTTCTTTCTATCTTTCTTGTCATTTTTCTTTCTTTTAACCACATTCTGCTTGGGAATATCTGGTGCTGTAAGCTTGTTAATCGGAGAGCCGAGTAGCCGCTGCGTTCGTTATATCTACTTACGCGCAAATATCCTTGTGAAATGTATGAATCTACCTCTTCTCCCCCAGCTATGGATTAATTAGTAAGACATTTATCACTAAATTATTATTATATCAAAAATTGTTAAGATGTGAAAATATTTTCTGTCTTTAAATAATCTACAAAAGGTTGATAAACGGTAAAAACAAATGAGTCAATTAATTAATCTTTATTTCTTTCGTTTTAGCTCTTTCTGTCTTTTAGGCACACTCTTTCTTTTCTTTCGTTTTTCTTTTAAGTCTTCTTTATTCTAAGCTAGATTCCTTTCTTTCATTTATGCTCTTTCTTTTAAGCACTTTCTTCTTTTCTTTCTTTCTTTTCAGCTCTCTTTCTTTTAAATTGTCTTTCTTCCCTTCTTTCTATCAATGCCTTTCAGTGAGTATGCATGCTTTTCTCTCTATTTCTCATCTACTTTCCTCTCACCCTTTCACCCTCTTTAATACTTCCCTTCTTTTTGCTGTCAACATCTGTTATCTTTCCGTCTTTTTCTTTATACTCTGCTTCTTTCCAATTTATGTTTGCTTCTGTCTTTCTTTTCATTTCTTTATCTTCATTCAACCTGTGTCCCCTAACCCACCCTTTACATTTTTCTGAACGCTTTGTCATTTGTTGTATGACACAATCTTCTTTCAGACAACACCCACACTACTACTACTACTACTACTGCTAAGCTTAAGTCGTATAGCAAGGAAATATTGGGTCACTGTACCGAATCAGACGTTGACCAATGTTTTTAAAAGCCCCTATTAGCGACTATCAACACGAGAATAAAAGACTACTCTGGAAATAATATATGTTTTCATACCGATGAAAGTAGGCGGCAATAAACACTTACATAAAAGCACTTGCACACTGATTATAACAAATCAATAATTATATCCAAAATAAATGTATGTATAAAAGAGTTGAGAATCGATTAACAGTAAAATCCAAAATATTTATATCCTTTAAGAAATCACTGATTTATTGATTCCCAGATAACGTTTCACAGTTGGTAGAATGATTTGCAACGATGCAGAAGTTCACATACAGAAATTCATCTATTCGATAGATAAACAGTTATGAGGACCAAATTGTTAGGTGTTCTTAAAAGCGTCGTAGAACTTTGTGCTTCGAATTTGTGATATCAAAATCAAGCAAGTAAGAAAATTTAGATATCTGGGAAGGGTTTTAATACATGATAGAAAAGGTGATACCGAAATTTGAAGCCGTATTCGAATAGTAAACGATATCTTCTAAAATATAAGCAAATTATTAACAGGATAATTTCATTAGAAACAAAAAAGAAGACTGAAATTGTAATTAATGTAAATTTTGATTTCCGGCATAAAGACCTCACGGATTAAAAACATACTTGAGACACCAAAAATGTGATTCTGCAGAAGGATGATTAGCATACCATTGACAGAGAATGTAAGCAACGTGGAACTCTCGAGGTAAAAAGGATTGCTTTGCTTTGCTTTACTTTACGGCATATCAACATCTCAATGGGTTATTTAATGCCGACAAGATTTTTGTTGCTAGTAATATTTTTTTTTCCCAAAATATATTGTTTGTAATATTTTTTTCTTCAAAAATGTACTCCTGGTAATATTTTTTCAAAAAATATATTGCTGGTAATATTTTTTTCCAGAAATGTATTGCTGGTAATATTTTTTGTCCAGAAATTTATTGCTGGTAATATTTTTTCTTCAAAAATGTATTGGTAGTAATATATTTTTTCTTCAAAAATGCATTGCTGGTAATATTTTTTTTTTCCAAAAATGTATTGCTGGTAATATTTTTTCTTCAAAAATGTATTGCTGGTAATATTTTTTCTTCAAAAATTCATTGCTGGTAAAAAATTTTTGCAAAAGTGCATTGCTGGTACTAAAACCTATTTTTACACTTTCATGGTGTTTTGACCCCAATTTAGAGGTCAACTATTTGTCCATAGCTGTGACCCTAACAGGTACTACCACTCCGAGTCAGGATGAACCTGGGAACACCAACAATTAAGAGGTGGTTCCACGCTCCTCAGAAACTCCTGTTCAGAGGCCTTGCTGCCGGATGCAATTTATCGTCTTACCCAGGACACAGGAACATGGAAAGAAAAGGACACTTATACTTAAAATTAGAAAGGGTCTGTTCAAATTTATAGAACTAATATTGAGTAAAGGAGGTTTGGAAAATTTGACAATATCATTGAAGAAGAGGAAGAAGAGGAAAATAATGAGCTTGTATAAATAGATGGCATTACAGGGACTGTGAAAGATGGTAACAGAAGAAATAATACTAATAGCTATAAGGGATAGGAAGTTGTGGAGAACTATGATCTACCACATCCTGAAAGGGTACGTCACAAAGAAGTAGGTTTATTTGATGATACTAAAACATTATCTATCTAAATAAATAAACGGCATGTTCTGATTGCCCGTCCGTGTGTCAGAAAACCTTTCTAAATCGGACCACACTATGTAGACATAGGCATAGTATACATTTTGGGGACTGAAAATCTGCCTTTCATTTGGTACTTGAACAACCAGTATTGGGCTTTGTGTCCGGAAAGGGCGATCATGGTTCTCTGCAATTTTTCTATCCTTTGTAACGTTAAGTAATCGTTGAGTTTCTATCATACCATATATGACCCTATTCTGCTCAGCCATGCAAACAAATTTAAGTAGTTCACTCACCGCCACTTCCTGCTTCCAGCAAGATGTCCTATGAGTTTTAAATTCTCCAGACTCTCTTTCCTCAAAATGTTATCCGGGTGGTAGCACCTGTAAGGGTCCCAATTATGGAAAAATAGTGAACCCCCAAACAAAAACAAAACAATCCGAATATATAAAAATTCACTTTTATAGCAAAAATACCAATAATACATGATTATATAAAAAATTACCAACAATATCTATTTATAGTAAAATTACCTACAGTACCTATCTACAGTAAAAGAAAATAATTTTCTCCAGTTGAAGGCAATTCAATTCCGTTCAAAATATTTAGACTACAGCATGAAATAACCAACAGAGGTCGATATGCTGCTAAATAAGATTAACCAACCAATTCCTCAAATTGTGTCTCATGAATTTCAACTCTTTGCATCTTTCTGATTTCAAATGACAGAGACACTCTAGACATATATTCATATGTTTTACGTCAGGTGTATAAATAGCGGTGTCAGGCTGCAAACTGCAGTAATTATTGAGTGGCAATTGACTGGAACTATCCAGTCGAATTAGTGTGCGTCGATCATTTGGGTTTTGATTTTGCTTTTGATTTGAGATTTACCGAATGTTAAGTTATTCACTGAAATGGTTAATTATCTTTGATTGACTTTTACTTCTTTGTATTTGCGGTTGTAATTAAATACTGTTCTATTTTAACATTGAAGTTACACTTAATTCTTAACGGCCACCGTACATTACAAAGCAACACAGTTTCAAATCCTGCCGAGGAAGTAATTATTTGAAAGCAACGAAAGTAAAATCAAGTATTTGTTATCTGTTTTGACACCTACTTCATTTTTCCGAGATCAGCTGAGCATTTCACATTAACCTTATAATAGAAAAGGCGTTTTATAATGCGTTAATAACTGATTTCTTTTACAAGAATAATTTACGAAATAAAATATATTTCTCCTGTCCTACATAAGAATTTAAAATATGTGCTTTCACATCTTCCTCCGTGTTTATCAAGATAGATAGAAAGATAGATAGATAATGGGAATACGTGGGTATTTACAAAGGTTATTTGCTACTTTCAAAAGATCATCATTGTTGTCTAACTCTCTCTCTCCATATATATATATATATATATATATATATATATATATATATATATATATATATATATGAGATAAGGATATATAAATTTTTATATATCACGAAAAAATATTGCGGTAAAATGTATGACAAAGTGTAAAAGGTTTTCTTGTGACACGTTTCGTCCCTTAGGACATCATCAGTCTAAATTTGTTATGTAGGTGCGACTACACATGCGCATATATATATATATATATATATATATATATATATATATATATATATATATATATATGTCCAGGCTGTTGTCACAATGTGGGATAGAAAAAGAAAAGATGAATTTGGCTAGATTGAAAAAATATTCTTTCAAAAATATTCTCTCAAAAATTTGGAAACTACCAGCGTCTCTCGTTTTGTGCGCATGTGTAGACGTGGCAACATCAACAAAGCCCAGTACGATGAAATTCGAACGGATGAAACGCGTCACAAAAAAAAAAATTTAATTGGTGATACTATTTTAGTAAAAACGAAAAATAGTGAAAACGAACACTTAAAATATCATTATTATTATTTGCTTTTTTTTAACATTGACCACTATAGCTTTATACCTCTGTTGGAATTTCCATACGGATTACCATATATATATATATATATATATATATAATCTAGCCGATTTAATTCACATACTTTTTCTTTTTGTTTCCATTACATTTGGTTTTAGATATCCCACACTGTGATAATAGATCTGTCAGGTATTGTGCCATGTTGCAAGAGGCTGGACGAAAATGTAAAAATAAAAATAAAAAAATATTTAAAATCCCAGCATTTCTCGTTTGTGCGCATGTGCAGTTGCGCCAACGTAACAAATTTAGTCCGATGAAGTTGTAAAGGACGAAATGGCAATTGGATTGGCTGAACATTAGTATAAAAACATTTACTCAATAAGAAAATCATACATCAGTCTATATATGAAAACTTAGGGTGATCAACGAATATGCTAGGATTTAATAATCTCCTAATCCGACCAAGCATAGAAATGTATGCAATATAGGACCCAGTACTACAGCGAGCTAGAGAAAAGCAACAATAACAAAAATTGTAATATGAACTCTAGTAAAAAATAAATTGGCTGAACATATGGATAAAAACGTTGGTTGATTTATCCAAAAGTAACGAGTGTTGTGAGTTCAATCCTGGCCACAGCAGAGGGAATACAAACTTGGAGAGATATCAAGTGGAAATAAATGAAACTGAGATACCCAAAGAACAATTAGAACAATCTACCCCAGTGGACTAAATAAAAGGTTCGGCTTTAAATTCCAACGTATATCACCTGAAGAAGACCGGAGCGTTCAATGGTCGAAACGTCGTGAATATCGCCAAAAATGATGAGGACAACAATCCGAAAAATATAAATAGTGTAAGAGAAAATCAAAGATAGTGAAAGTTTGCATACGGACGCATTTCGCATAATTGAGACACATTTTCATTTCAAATATTATAACCATGCAATATATCTGTCTATATGTATGAGATGAGGGGCAGCTCGAGGTGGTGTAATGGTTAACAAGCTTATCTCGATAGAACAATTACGACTGAGTAGTGAATTCGATCCTCACTGGGTGCCCCTACTTTCGACCTTGTGCCACGTCTAAGCTACGCTTGGAAAATCACTTTTTGAGATGAGGTATTTACGCTATTTATACCGTTCGGACTCATGGTCCAGTGGATAAAAGAGTTGGTGTTGAGTAATCCAAAAAATGACTTGGCCCAAAGAGTTTTGAGTTCAGTACCTGAATGGAGTTCAATAATTAATGGAATCGTTAGCATTAGGTCTTAGCCGCGCGCTAA